GGGCGGACACGGAACAAGGAGCTAGCCGTGAGATCCCAAGAGGTAAAGCACAAAATACTGAAAGGCCATGGTGGAATTCAAGGAGCCACCATGGGAAAAAGAAATCTTGGAATTCCAAAGGCCGGTTTGGAATTCCAAGAGACAAACATAAAAACAAACATAAAAATTATAAAAAGTACATTAAATATAAAGATAACTATGAGCTAAAATCCTAGCTAATAATGAGCTAACCCCTAGTTCAATAAATGAACTAAAGTCTAGCTCATAAATGAGCTAAAATTCTAGCTCAATTGGATTGAGCTAGTAGACTCAAGGGAAGCCAAAATATGATTTATTTTGGACATGTGTTGACCCCCCCTTTGTCTACATCACCCTCTCTTGCTCCCTAATTAATTGTGCACTTAACCCCTTCATGAGATTTGAAATCCAAATTAAGTGCAAAATAATTTCCCTCCAATCTTACTAAAACTGAAAATAATTTCAGTTTTAAACCCTTCCTCCCCTCCCTTTCTACCACCGGCTCCCTCCTTAGCCTCACCCTAATTGAATTTCAATTAATGCATTAATTGGAAATTCAAATCCCTCAAATTTTCCCTCCCAATTCCCTTAAACTGAAATTAATTTCAGTTTTCACACAAAACCCTCCCCTGTCACCCTAGATCTATCGCCGGCCTCCCATCCCCTCTCCAACCCGCCGTCCCTCTCTCCCTCTCATTGGAGAGCCTCTTGCAGCGACCACCCATTCTCACCTTTATGTCGCATGGCGGATCCCGAGTTTGAATGGGGCTTGTGTTCGATGCCCAAGGTAATCTCGATGTCCTCTGATCACCGTTCTTTGACGCGGGATTTGAATCCGACGAAGACACCGTGGGAGATTACTTGGATCGGATCCTCCTGAGCCTCATCCGAGTCATTGATAGACAACGTCCGGACTACGAGTGGACCATCGACGGGCGACTTTCCATGCCTTCTCGACATCCTACGCCTTCCTCTCTTTCTCTACGGATCGTCGGCACCGTCGCTCTCGGAGTGGTTTCATCTCTTGTGTGGTTCTTCTTCTCCCGCCAACCTTAAAAGTAGACAAATGAGCGTAGCCTCAAGGTGGGCCAATCACTTTGTTTACCACCGGATTCTCGTTGGCTTTTCATTTGCTTTACTATTTATGGTAGTCGTTATTTTATAGATCTTGCTAATTTAGCGGTAATAACTTGCCTAAGCGTAGTTGAAATCTAATATCTCTTGGAAGCTTCAATTGTGAGAATCATTAAGATTGTCTTGTCATTATTTTAACAAATTTTATTAATTTTCTAAAATCCAATTCCTGGTATCATATCATCTTGGTATCAGAGCATGGCTAGCATGCTTTGCTTGTGCTAGAAGTTCCTAGGAAGTTGTCACCATTTCGTATCGCTCATTTGC